TAATAAATACATATGTATTATGCAATGTATAGTTAATGGAGAAATAATTTAAAATTGCTCTCTAGAAGAGATAAAAGATTGTTTGAATATAATTATTCTGAGAGATAAATTTTGTTGATTATGATCCTCCCATGAAATGAATTTTATTGTAAATTTGTATACTAAGTTGGTGAAGAACTGTGATGCCCCTATATATGAGATATTTTACCAACTTAGGGGGAGAATTGGAGTAAATTGGCAAAAATTAATTAAACTGATGATCCCTATATAAATAATGGTAATTCAAAATATTTTCTAGCCAACTTTCGCCCATATGCTATCAAGATATGTTGCACGTTTATGATTTGATTTGTATTCAGTTATGACTCATGTTGCATAGCGTTGAAGATACATTTTGGTCATATTAATTATGTGTATACATTGAGATAAAATCTTGCCAATTGTACTTGAATCACTACACTTGAAGTGTAGGTTGTATATGATCGGTTCCAAAATAAAGATATGTTTAATAGATATGATATTTGGCAAAATAGTGCAGTTAACACTAATAGTGTAATAGTATATAAATACCAAAGTGAATGAAATACCCTAAAAGTGGTATAGATATCTGAATTATTATTATAGTTGGCCTATGATGTAAGAAAAATTATGATGGTACCAATGAAAAATGTATTCAGATATCATTGTCAAAATAGCATGCAAATTAAAATTGTACCTTGAGGAATTATATGATGATACCGATATATGATGGAACCGATAAATAATGCATATGCATGATATAATGGACTAGTGAATAAGGGATCTGGAATATATGTCCATTTTAATGTCGACATGATGATAATAATAAAAGTTTATCATGGACCAGAAGTCCAAAGAAATATGGATTTTTAAAATCCACATTGTATTATTTTGAGTCTTATTTATGTTCATATGCATATGTGAGTCTTAGGTTTTTGGATTATTCATTGTATATGTTCGAAGTTGTAAATGCATTACTCATTGTATAAGTTGTTTATCATATTTTTATATATCATATTGCATGCTTTATTTTCTATATAATATTGTGGTGTATGTCAATGTTTAGTCAAAGTATAGTAAGACATATTTACAACTTTGATGAAAAATTAGAAAGAAATACTTATGTTCCTATGGGCTTATATTGTGATGAAAATATTGAAAACGTCGATTTAATAACATGTTGTGAATCATGTAAGAAGAGTTCTTGAAGAACTTATATACGACGTTTTTAAATAATCATCCCTACAAATTTTTGAATATTACAATTATCAAACTCTTGAAAATTTTATGTGACTACATCATTGACATCTCAACCTGAAGTTTGGGTATATAAGAGTTAGTGAGATTTACTATTCCTATACGTAGAAAAATTATCGTGTAGTTAATTATGAAACTTCTAAAGAAACGGGATACTTATGCGTGAGACTGTTTCTTAAGATCCAGAAGAACCATGATTAATGTATATAATTGCATATGTTATATTATAATTCATATGAGATTGAAGAACGACATTAATAATGTCAAGTTTTGTCTATTAATGAATGTTTGATCAAATAATAATTATCAATTTCTATTATTAACGACTTCCAGAAGAAGTCATAACTGCATAAGTTTAATTTTTAGAGATAAACACAAGTATGGTGAAATGAAGACACTTCACATGTTCACGTGAAGACCTGAAGAATTGAAGATGCAACTTCAACTTAGGAGAGTCGAAGATCAACGGATGATACTTTACTTACTACATATTAGAAGATATCCAAACATATTGGATTCATCGTTGCGGTACTAGAAGATCTCAAGTACAGTTATGTATTCAACAGGGGGAGAAAATACGCGCTGCACTCTTTTTCCCTTGACCATGGTTTTGTCCCAAATTGGGTTTTCCTGGTAAAGTTTTTAATGAGGCGGCATCTCGAGCGTATTACGAAGAATGATGTACTCTTTTTCATTAACTATGTTTTTATCCCACAAGGTTTTTCTTAGTAAGGTTTTAATGAGGCACAATCTTCGATAATGGACATCCAAGGGAGAGTGTTATGAAATATTTGTGGATATCCATTATCCTCCTTTGTATCATTCCGGAACAATCTAGATCTAGGGTTATCCAATCAAACCCTAATATATTGTATGTATGTATACACCTTATCATATGGAATAAGATACACAGATTTATTCTCTCCTCAATTCTTCTCTTATTCCCTTTATTTTACAATAACTATATAATATTACCTCCATTTTTTTTATTAGTTATCACGTTTTAACTTTAGCAATACTCATACTTTTTTTTTAATCATATTTTGCGATTTATACCGTTATAAGTAATGAAAAATATAGTCATGTGCGGTCTAGTTAGATTCATCACTATATATATTTTCAAAATATCAATTTTTTATAATTTTTTCATATCGATAATTAAAGATATTAACGTGAATTTGTGCATTAGCAAATGTGACTAAAGAAACATGTCAACTAAAGATATTTAAAATCAAAGTTACATGTTAATCAATATAAGTCAAATAGATACAAATAAAAATGTAGAGGGACTATCTTACGAGTAAAAAAAAAAATTGTTGATATATTAAAATTATACGTCAAGATAATACAAATCAAATACTCCATTCGTCTCATCATATTTTCCTATTTTGGTGAACTAAAATGTTGTTCCTATTCATTTTTTTAGAATGTATATAACGACTATTATATCCTCACTTTTTAAACTTTATTCATTGTACTTCCTAATTTATCGTTGAATTTTGCATATGCCTTGTACTTTTTTTCACTTTCTCTTTCTAATTTTTCTCTAGGATTGTACTTTTCACTTTTATTAATATACTTTATCCATTTTCTCCTCCTATTTCTTAAATACCATTAAAAAACACAAACAAGAACTATATTATGGGGAGGGAGTATGTTATATGCTAGAATTTGTTTCATATACTGATGTAAATGTTTTGTCAAAATGAAATACTGTATATGAATTATGCAAAAAATCAAATTATGAAGTACTTGTTAAAAAGTGTGGTTGCTCTACAAAATAATTCATTAACGTTTATTTTCCTTATAAACATAAACTCAATTTTTTCGACATAAGTTTCCCACCATTTTATAAAAGAGCATGTTTTGTTAATAAAATTAATATTATACAAGTACATATTAGAAGATCCAATCAATCAAAATTTTAAATCAATGGTTAAAAGTTAAAATCATGATTGATTATATACACTCTCAAAATTAATATACATAACATGATAAATAAGAAGTCCTAGCTATTTTTTTTTTTTTTTTTTGAGAGAGAAGTCCTAGCTATTTGATTAACTTCAATTCAGAACTAACAAGTTCCTTAACCATGTAATGTTGAATAAGTTGATGCAATTACAGCAGTGTGGATATGATTTTTACATCATTAAAATCATGCAATTTTTTCATTTTGGGTTGATTGGGGATACCTTTCTACTGGAATGTCATCAATGATCAGGCCAATTGTGAATCAAACCGAGCCAGTCTCTTTAAATTTCAATCTATGTTTTCAAGCTTGGTATGGGGCCTGTTCATATATTTCAGCCTTCAAGTTAATTGTGTGTATCGGGTTAGGCCAGTTTTGTCAGATTTACCCATCAAGATCGGAGAAGTATTGGCGCATAGGTCCTGTATATTTAGTATGCAAATAGGATGTCATTTCTGTAAATAATGGGAGCATGATGGTGGAAATATGATAGAAAAAAATACTACTATTGCACTACATACATAAAAAGTACTATTTAAAAAGTACAAGGATTATTCAAATCTCTTGACCTTTCATTTTAAGTTTTTAACAAAACTCATACTCATAAGTACTTTTTAATAAAATAAAATTTTAATTAGGCAAGCACAAACTTAAGGTTTTGTTTGATTTAACTTTTTATTTATTTATTTATTATTATTATTTTTTTAGGGGTTGTTTGATTAAACTTTGTATGAATATTCTTTAACAATATTATTTGAACAAGTCTAATTTTATACTTTGTGGTCCAAATTACATTATTATGTAAACTCGTGCATTAAAAAAAAAAAAAAAACATCTCGTGCATGTTCACTTAACATATATTTGAGCGTAGTATTTTTAAGACAATATAGGATCATACAAACACCACTCTAAATCTTAGAGTTTAATAACATACTCCCTCAATCCCATTAAAGTTGCTCTATTTTCCTTATATGATTCTTCCATTGACTTTGTTCCTCAACCTTATAAAAGGAGAGATATAGGCTTAAAACTTTGGAAAGAGAATAAAGCGAGAGTCCGAGGCTTCAACCAAGTTTTAAAATAATGAATTCCTTAAACAGGCTATTTTAATGAGAAAAAAAAAAACAAATCAAGTCTTTTTTGTATGAGGAGCAAAAAAATAAATGTTGAATAAGGGATTAGAACGTTGAGCTTTGGTACACAAGGCATTGTTTCAACCACTAAGATTTTTTAAGTTTGAGAAATTACTAGTCTTATACGAATAAATTGAGAAATTACTAGTCTTATACGAATAATGTTCCTCCATATTATTTGTCACCATCTTTGTTGGCAAAATACCTATAAATTAAGTGATTGTCACCATCTTTGTTGGCAAAATACTCACAATCTTTCATATGTCACCATCTTTGTTGGCAAAATACCTATAAATTAAGTGATTGTCAATATATGCTTACTAGTATAATGATGTTTTAGAAATGTTATGTCGCAAAATCTGACCACATAATGGTCAATTTTTGGACCACTAACTAAGGTTATAAATTAATAAAAATAATTTTAATTTAGCTAAAATATTTGTAGTCCAGCAAAAATAAGGTGAAGAGAACAGAACTTAAAGTAGAAAAAACATGACCTAAATTAGAAATGAGGCAAATAATATGAAGAGTATAATCATACAAAATATTGATATCACTCTTAGTTATATTTCCTCATTGAACTTTTTGTCCAGGAAAGGGAATGCTAAATGAGAATTTGATTGTTACTGTGACTTGTAAGAGCATGAATTTTTATTAAAATTCAGAATATACTGCGTACCATAATGCAACTATATTTGCTTACAACTTATTTCACTTAGTCTATTTTTCGGAAAAAGGATGATCACAAATTTTGCTCTTTTCCTTCCCCTTCCTGTTAAGGGAATTGTGCACAAAAATCAGAAATCATCTGTCTAAAAATATGAAGAAGCTGGTCTACAAATTGAATGCATTGAATCATCCACAAACAACCTAAACACCCATTTTCCAGGTCATGGCGAAATTCTTCCCAATAGGCAAAGACAACCCACTAATCTGTACCATCACGGTCTTCATCGCAGCATCTACATCAGACTGTATGTGGTAACTTTGCTCTGATGTTATCGTAGCTACGTCTGGTGCACTCGTTACTTCAATTCCATCAACTTGAATTGCGACGGCTCCTGCATTTCCACCCAATCCCAACACAGATATCTTCCCAACAGTCCACCCTTTGTCTACAGCAAACTTGCCCTCTTGAACTTCTGACCAAACCTTAACCATGTTCTGATCCACAGTCGCATAGAAATCGACATAAGTCGAGGATCCACCTGCCAGTTTCATTTCAGGGAGTTCATCCTCGTCGACAAAGAGATTCCCTTTGGCTTGTCCGTGACTAGCCCCAGCAGGGAAAGTCACTACAAGATGATAAGGCGTCTCCCTTGCTTCTTTCGAGGTCATTCCACCTTGTTGCATCGGAAGAATGTTGTTTTGATATAGATGTACGTTGATCACATGCAATGGTGCGTCAAGGGTGACGTATTTGCCTGCCTTGGAAGTAATAGCCTGAGACATATCGAACATACTATACCAGGAGCCGGGAGGGAAAAGTGCCTTCACACTATTGGCTCCCTTCTCAAGAACAGGTGATACCATCAGACCATTACCAAGCAAGAACTGTGTGCTCAACCCATAACAGTCTGTGTAGTTGGTGAAAGTGAAGAACAGCGGTCTAGCAATCGGAGCACCAGTAGTGTGTGCCTCGTAGCTTAATGTGTAAAGATAAGGAAGAATCTTGTACCTCATACCCAAGGCATTTCGAGCTGACTCAGCAACTGTGTCCCAAACATAGAGCTCTTGACTCGGTGAGTAGTAATTAGCATGGTCTCTAGAGAATGGGTAGAAAGCACCCAATTCAATCCAACGGTTGCAAAGTTCCTCTGTAGGTTGAGGATAGAAACCACATATGTCGGAACCAACCATTGGCACTCCAAATATACCAAAATTCAACATGGTAGAAATTGAGTACCTCAGATCATTCCATGTTCCTTGATTATCACCAGTCCAGTGAGCAGCATAATGGCCAGACCCCACATAAGTAGAGCGTGTCAAAATGAATGGCCGCTTACCTTCAATGGCTTGAAGTCCCTTATGAGTTGCAATTGTTTCTGCAAAGCCATATAGACTGTGAGCATCATACTCCAAAACGCCGTTGTAGTGAACTGCACTGGTAGCTATGGTTTTGTAACCAACAGGTGAACTGATCCCTGAAGCATTTATCTTATAGGGCGGATCATCCCATCTTGTTTTTGTGATGTTCTTGCAGTCTAAGCAGCATACCCATCCAGGTCCAATGCCAGAGGGACACTTTTTGCCCTCTGGAATTGTGCAAAGCCCGGTGCAGAAATTTGAGGCCTCGTTCATGTCAATCCACAAGCCATCAACTGGAACAAGTTCATGGAACCGTTTGATTTCATCTACCCACCAATCTACTGTTTTAGGGTTGAGGTAATCAGGGAAGTAAACAGCCCCAGGCCACACTTGGGCTAAGTAAGGCTTTCCCTCGTACTTGATGAAAACATCATCAGCCATGCCTCTGGTGTATGTTCCATAAGTCGAGTTGACAGCAATACCAGGATCAATGATGACTATATACTTCATTCCCCGAGCATGAATCTTTTCAAGGAAGTTCAAAACCTTTGGACGCGAGTAATTTACATTATTGAGGGTGAAGTCCTTGTGCCCATCCATATGATCATCATCGTTCCAGATAACATCAAGTGGAATTTGTGCCTTTTTGTAGCTCTCAACTACATTTTCAACCACGGAAAGGTTATGGTAACCCCATCTGCATTGGTGGAAACCTGTCAAATGCAAACGAATGTCAGCTATGTTCTCTTCTTTGCTCATTTTGAATGCTAGAAAGAAGAATACATCACTCTATAGACAAAATGTATGCTTCACTAAACAGCCCAACTCATAACACCAGATAAGGTCACTCAGTTATATTCATATCAGTAGAATGCTTCTCTTTTCTAACCAAAATTAAACAAAGCAGATATTACACATCAAAACCCTTAACAACCAATAACATCTAACTCAGTAGATGAGACCTACAGGATAAATAACATCTCACACATCAAACTTCAAGTCAATACAAGAGAAATGTACTAAGTAGTAAGAAAAGAGGACAGTAGTTCTTTTTCATCATATGCATTTGATTGAGCGCCTACCATCACCATGAAAATAAAAATCCTAATTTACAATTTCTTTTTAGCATCACTGAATAGTAGAGGCAACTGGATACTCTACAGAGGGGCAAACAAGTTGATTTCAGGTTCAATTCGGTTCAAATTCAGGAGGTAGAGTCTGTGAGTCATTCAGTTTGGTTTCAAGACACCTCAATTTTGGCCTTTGGGTATATTCCCTGATTTTTCAAATCATTTAAATAACCAATAACTTGGGTCGGGTTATGATTCTTTAGTACAAAGATTGCCACAAGGAACTATGGGAAATGCCAGTGCCAAAACTTTTACACACTATCGACCACTAAAATGGTAAGTTGATATAAATAGCTAGCTAGTGTATATGTTATACTATTCTTTCCTTCATTTTTATCAAGTAGGGTGTATTATCCGTCAACCTTATTTTCGTAAGGAGCAGAAAGAAACAAAACATTGATGTATCGACCAGATAACAGTTAACGCTTTCACTCAACCAAATAAAGCAGAGATATATAAAGCACATGGAACATTTTAACCACATATTAGCAGCTAAGGATTGAGAGATTTCAGCAGAAAAATCTGGAGTTAAGTGACTATATTATTACACTACTAATAGTTATGAGACTATGAGTGATAACCAATTAACCATGACATAAATGTTAAGACTATGAAATCTGAATAAGTGAATAAAGCTCCTTTATAAAATGGTCCAATCCCCTAAACAATAGTTTAATGCATCACCTACTTGTCTCTCTTCCATTAAGTGTACCTACCAAACATAAATAATAGGAGCTAAAAGCCTAAAATGTAGAGACAAGGCTTTACAATGTGCATCACAAGGAGGTAGTATTTGGCTCGTTTTGGATCATATAATCGTTTCTTCCATCTATTGTAAGTTAACACAACATGGAGTTTAAAACTATTTTACGGATGATAGTACTTCGTATTAGTTTTGGTAATTAAAAGAAAGGAGCTCCCTAAACCACAAGGATCCCTCGAATGAATCCTATGAGATATGATCCTTAAATCAAAGGGATCTAAGGTAAAGAGCGAAGCCACTATTCGGTGTCACCACCTCAACCTTTTGTACGTTGTATTGGTGAGTTTTAAGTATAAATATGTTTCTATGTGAAAACTTTGATTAGTGTGCAAAATAGATAGGATACTTGCAAAAAAAGTATAAAATGTGGGCCGAAAAGAAGAGAAAAAACAAAGGAAGAAAAAGTATAACATGTGAGATTTTTTTTAATCATAAGAAACGTGAATGCAGAAAATGCTATCTACTTGTAAGGACCACTTTATTTAGTTGCTACTTTTGATGAGTGTATTTGGGGAAATAGCCCAGCCAACTGCAAAAGTCGTTTTCTATTCTTCCACGTTGAACAAGAAATGTGTACAACTTTCTACTCACATCAATTATGACTCTATTTTTTAGTACGTTAAAGATTTTTGTCATAAGATTTTCTTCCTCCTTTTACATAGGCAAGATTTGTGAGATTTTCCAAACAAAAGTTTTGGTTTCTAAATGCTAATGTCTTGTCATAAACTCACAATAGGAAGAATATTATGGAGTTCGTTCAATACTAGGCTAACGATATACTATAGTCGATTTGGAAATAATAGAGGAAGAGAAAAAGTTCTCGATTGTTCCGAGACACTCTTCCTCTCATTTTTTCCGAGGAATACATACTTAAAGTTACGCAACTAGACTTTTAATAACCTTAACGAAAAAGACCAAAGCATTTGAAGCAACAAGTAAAATCGACTTATTGTTTACAACAAACTTAAAAAAGGACCCCGTAAAAAAAAAAAAAAAAAAAAGGAACCTTACTTTTGTTCATGGCTTTCCAAAACAAAAAAAAGAATTAGAGTGAAGTGGATAACAATTGAAAACACCTCGTCTAAAATTCCTAACTCACCCAATCAATTAATGTGCTTAGTTTAGCGATTATGAATTCCAGAACAAAACCATTATTAATCAATTCAAAACCATTATGAAACTTAAGTACTTCATCTGTTTTATATACGTTACAACAATTATCATTTAACAAATTTATAACCTTATTAATCAATTCAAATTAGCATTATTGATGAAAAGAAAATGAGGAGACAATAGGTACCATTACAATACCCTATAACATACATTAATCATTCTTATTTGATTCCTTTTTCCTAAATATGGGTGTTTTTACTAATCAATCATATGGAAAAAATCAATCCAGGACCTATGATACTGACAAATATTGAGTTTATAAAAAAAATAATTATTATATGAGTAGATCACCGTTTAAGCCAAGTAGGATTTAATGTGTCGTACCTTAATTGTAAAAACCATAAAATGCATGAATCTACACCAAATTATGTTAATAAAACAGACAAATGGCCCGACCAACGCAGCCCAACGTATGGCAAATAAACATGAAAGCAGATCCCTCAAATCGCGGTGTTTAAGCAAATTGCATCCTTAATTATATATTAATGCAGATTTGAGAGGGATGATAATGTTAAACAATTGATGCAAATATACTCTATTCTTAGAGCTCATAATCAGCACCATTCTCTCATGTGCAACATAATTTACCTGGCTATATTATAGATACACGAACTATATAGATCATAAACTCCAACATTGGTCGTGCCAAATAATACGTGACTTTCTAGATTTTGTAGGTTAATTAAATCAATAAAAATATGACAAATTAAGATTGTATGTAGGGACCACATACAACGATTGTATGTGTAGCCTTTACCCGAAAAAGGTCCCTTGAACTCAATTCTAACATTACGCGTCATTGATATCATGTACGTATTATTTAGGGACATAGAGATTATCATTTATCAACCAGTAAAACAATAATGTGAAATAAAGGATTAATGAGTAATGAGGTGAGAAATTACCAAAAGCCCAGTAAGGCATAGGAGCAGGTCTCCCAATCAAGCTAGTGTACTGATTCACAACATCAAGAGGAGAGGGACCCGAAAAGAAGTAAAAGTCGAAAACACCCCCGATTACTTTGTAAGTCAAGGATTTACCACTGTAAAAAACATCCATCCCATTGCTATTTAACAATAAAACAGCATGGGCTAAGGGTTGCCCACCCACATTTCTAAGATCCATATAAACCGGGTGCGACCCGTATAAATCGGTATTAAGATTAATAGCTGAAATATCCAAGGTATAAAGTGTGTAAGGGTCATTCGGGTAAAGTTTAATTCCATGTGGTTGGGTATTTTCACCAAGCCCATAAAGTGAAGCATCAGAGGGTAATTTTGTGGTAATTTCAAGGTATTGGTCTTTAAATACTAAACTGTTAAACGGGTCGGATTGTGTCGAGCTCGTATCGAAAAGGATTTCACCGTTTGATTTTCTTTTTACCGTGAAGGTAAATGGGCTAACTGTGTAACTGAAAATAAGCTCATTTCCTGAGATTTTAGAATCAGAAAGAGGGATTTTTCTGGATTTTCCTAGGGTGTTTTTTAATGAGGGAGGTTTTTCTCTTGGTAAAAGATCATAAGGTACTTCCCATCTTGGTTTTTCTGCATCTGTAATGTGTACCCTTAAACGTTCCTCTGTTTCATGCCTGAAAAAGGGTAAAATTGTCAAAAAAATGCCAATTATTGAGCTAATAAATCGGAAATCTGTATTAGTTGGTCTCGTGTCAGACGATCTTACACGTATTATTACAAGAATTGGATAATCCAAAATCCCAAATCCAAATGGGCTAAATTAGATCTCATTAACATTATATTGGCAAATGTGGCAATGTAAAGGAAAATGTACATTCATCTAGACATAATGAAACTACTCCCTCCATCCCCGAAAGAACGACCCAAATTGATTTCACGGGTATTAATAAAGTTTTTTAAAAAGTAAAACTATATTGAAAAGATAAATTTAAACTGTGTTTATAACAAAGTAGAGAGATATAATAATAAAAGTATATGGGAAAACAAAATTTTATATGAAAAAGCTAATTTTGCACGAATATTGTTGAAAATTGGTGGGTATTTAATGCTAATGGATCATTCTTTTTGGAACTAAAATTGGACTAAATGGGTCGTTCTTTCGGGCACGGAGGGAGTACAAAATTAGGGAGCCATTATCCCTAAATTGACATTGAATAATGAAGATAAAATACCTCAAAACAAAGTTTTTTTAAAAAAAAAAAACTACTTTTAGCCGTGGTAGAATGTACCACTTTTCATAATGTTGCAATGTTCGACTTGTGGTAACATATAAAATCATTTACAGAGTACGTGTAAATGTCAACCAAATAACCACATTGAGTCAATAACGTAGAAAACAAAAAAGAACGGAGAAAGTATGACATTTGAGACGTTGATCTAGTCTAGGCAAAAATCTTAAAACAAACAAACAAAAATCAAAAGCACCAATAATTGAAAAAAAAAAATCAAGAGATTAAAAAAATTAAAAAAGGCAAAGCAAACTCACTTGACAAAAAGGCGCAACATAGGAATATCAGGGCCATAGATTTTATTTTTCTTGATAACTTGCAAGTAAGCTAAGAAGCCACCATCATGGGTTTCTTCAACGGAAACTAAACGGTAACCATTACCAATCTTAGTAGAATTTGAGGAGTGTTTAGTTGAACTATAAGAGTGTTTATTTGTTGAATTAGTAGTTAATACTACATTTAAGTTGACAGTAATTAGGAAGAACAACAGACAAAGAAGCAAGGAAGAAGACATGTTTAGAGAAGTGAGTGAGGCAGACTGTAAATGTAGCCTTTGGGACTTGTTGGCTTTTAAAGGCAGAGGATAAGAGATTTGCAAGGGTGGGTTGGTAATCAAGTGTGATGGGGTGTATGATATGAAGTAAAGATTCTATGATGTAATAAATTAATACTTCGTAATTGAGAGGGTTCGCGTTGTCGAACGGGCTTGGGTTAGGTTTAATTTGGTCGAGTCATTTAGCTCTGGGTTATGCACTTGTGTCTATACGACTATATTGATCAAATCTAAATCGAATCTATTTAAATTAGACAGATTTGGTCAGGTTGTTGTACCTTTAAAAGTCGGTCAGTTTTTGACACCTCATAGACGTATATTAATTATTCTTTTTTGATGCAAAAAAAGGGTGCAATATAAGGACTTTTCTGTAGGACATCCAACCTAATACTACTTTCCCTCAAGTATGCTTAAGTGCGGGGTTCTGATGGGATCCAGTGCATTAGTACTGGTATGATCGCATCCTGTATTAATTATGATGATAAGTGACTTGTGTTTGCATGTGATTGGTGATGGTTCATAGGGTCCACATTGTAAAGGAAGGTTTTCTTTTTTTATTTTTTTTCTTTCTTTGAGAAGCTAAGAGTATTATTGATGATGGGTCCAATGTTAACAATTGTGTGACTGTTTTTTCTTGTGGGAAATTGGATTGCCCTTGATTTGTGGCGGTGGTGATGGCTGATGGTACTTCAAAAATAAAAATGTGTACAAGGTAGCAAGAAAAACGATTCCCCGTCTGTGTTAGTCTCGTTTAATAACTCAAGCAAACTCCTAAACCAAATGTTAAAGATCACAAAAGAAGGCAACAAATGGTATATATGTGTACACATTGAATGATAATGTGATAGATAAGAATGATGATATGTTAGATTAGAACAATTATGTGACAGATAAAAATATGTGGCGGATAAGAATGATGATAAGATAGATTAGGCAGTAAGAATGATATTGAATAGTATTAATTTGGAAATAAGATACTCCGTATTAATAACATATATGAAGGATTACTATAATAATTTCAAATTATAGGTAAGATATAATTATATCCTAATTTACAATCTAACTTCGTTTTCCCCTTATATATACACATACCTTTCTATTTTATTTTATTTTTTGACAGCTTAAAAAAAATTACAGGCTTTTCCTAGCTATTACTGCTAGTTTATGGGCCTGTAAAATTACATTTCTATGGATTTTCCTAATCACTAAGGAAGCTAACTAATTGATTGACTTTCTTAGTTGTATTTAGGCACTTAGCGAATCTAGAATTCTTATTTAATAACTTGTATTTTACTAAAATTGAAATCATTGTACTAATTTTAGTATTAGCCAGTGATTTTTTCTTTTTTTTTAAAAAAAATATAATTAGTATATATGTTTGAATGAGGCTAATATCTAAAAATAATGCTCGTAGTAAAAATAAAACATCAAAAGCGTTTTATATAAAATTACTTAATGGAGTTAGAATTGTGTAACCCTACAACAACTCGCACAATTCCCACTCCTCGGAGTCCCTCCTATTTTCTTCTAGAGTTTTAACTTTTATGAACTAGTTAAAATTTATCTAAATTAAGTAGTTTAGATAGGTTTCAAAAATGTTATGTAAGTTGTAATAAACTATGATACTTTATACTATGTGTTTTACATCATGTGTCATCCTTTTTTTTTTTTTCTTTCTTTTTGACATGTGCCTCATGACAATTGAGATTTCATCATCTTTGGGAAATGCTTAATTAGAGTAAGAATTAAGCCTTGCATTCTTGATACATGCATGTCTTTCCAATTTCACAATACACACCAAGCTAGCTAGCTAGATTAACGATTAAAACCTAACGATAATTATATATTGGTTTGATAATTATATATCTTTGTAAAATATAATGCATACATTATATTAGAAGATGCATCTTCCTCGTGGGTGGCTTGGGAATTCGCTGTATCTCGACTCTAAATAAAGCTCTTCTTATGAAGCAGGTTTGGAGAATTGTTAACAACCCTCAGCTGCTCATATCCAGAGTCTTTACTGCCCGTGCTCAATTCTTATCCCGCACTCCTTCTTCTATTAGAAGTTTTTCGGGTCGAAGCTCTTACGGCCTTCGAGGTTTACTTCACGCAGATGGCATGCTCTCCAAAGGGTGCAGCTGGAAAGTTGGCAATGGTCACTCCATACTAGCAGGGCAGGCTAATTGGGTCAACGGTTCTGTTTTGGAATTCAAACTAGGAATCCTCCTGGCTACAGCAACAGATTGGACGATAAACTACTTTCTTCATCCGCAAACTCTATCCTGGGATGTTGATAAAGTACATTAGTGTTTCCAAACCTCGGATGCTTCTACGATTCTTTCAATGGAAGCTCCTGATGTAAATGAAGCTAACTTTCAGTTTTGGGCGCGCACTGTCTCGGGAAAATATTCAATCAAGACGGGTTACGCACTTCTCATACAACAGGATTTTCCTCATTCTGTTTATCCAATCTGGAAAACCTTTTGGTCCCTTTAGTTACAACCGAAGTGGAAACTCTTTTTATGGAAGCTACTCCATCACGGTTTAGCGGTTAAAAGTGAGCTTCAACGTAGGGGGGTTCCAGTTCAAGATGTGTCCTGTGACTAGTGCAGTACGCAGATTGAGGATTTTAACCATCTGTTTAGGGATTGCGACATTGCACGGACATCATGGAAGGGTGGAAGTTTACACATCCACTCAGAAGCACATGGACACCTTTCGCTCTCAGATTGGATCCGAGACTATATCCGACTTTTCATTAGTCAGGATGGACTTTCGAGTCCCAACATTAGCACCTTCGTTGGTACTCTTTGCGGTATTTGGTTATTAAGGGATAACAGGGTTTTCAATCCTGATACGCCTATCACACAACCAGTTGAGTTATACATCGTGAACATCTTGCGTTCTCACACTATCGATATGGTTTTAGATGATGTTGTGGAAGCCTCCCCCCTCTTCTTCTTCTTCTTCTTCTATTCATGGGGCTTACCCCTTCCAGGATTTCATGTAGTGGGGTCATCTCGTACAAGCTCTAACTTGATTCAGATTCAGATTGATGGAGCATGGTACAAGGATACAAGACATGGAGGAATGGGATGGTGCCTTGATATAATACAGATCCTCTCGATGAAAGGATTATTGGAGGGAGTAATTTTGGACTTTGCACTTCTCCTCTCCATTCGGAAGCCTTAGTTTGTTTGTATGCCTTACAATGGGCGTCAAATCATCACATTCGGTCGCCTCTTATTTTTACGGACTCTTACAATCTTATCACTCTTTTGCGGGGCGATGGCCGAGGGGACATGTCCTTTTTATGGCTGGTACAACAGATTCCACATCTAGGATCCACCTTTAAACACTGTGGCATTTACAAGGCAGACAGACAGCGTGTTCGCAGGGCTCACCAAAATACCAAATTGCAGGAGAGACTGCCGTTCTTTTAGTTTGCTTTAGTTATGTACTATGTTTTTTTCGTTCCTTTGTCAAAAAAAAAAAAAAAAAAAAAAAAGAAGCATCTACTATCTTGTAACAAATAACAACTCTCAAGCGCTTCTCAAATTCACACTCATGTTCTTTCAAAGATAAAAAAATAAATAATAAACTAAAATACAATTCTACTAAATAAAAATAATTGTCCAATTATTGCTACAGTTATTATAGATTGCAAATTAAATGATGCACTTGGGTACATAATGCTCAAGGTGCATATGTTTTCATTGGGTTAAACTGGGATGTTATTTTGGTTTGAACTACATAATGTTCTTTGTCATTTTTTTATTATCTACTAATGCATGCTTTAAATTATGTTTATTTATAATATTAAACATTATTATTGTTATTATGAACCATATTTTTCTTAAAAAAATTTGAATAGAAGTGAAAATATTTTTAAGAGTATTCCTAAAGGACACTAATTAATTTTCATTAATTGAAGTCATACGACATCTACAATTAAAGATCTATGTATTTGGATTCTTAGTTCTTCCCTTGTTAATTCTTGTTTGAACGTATTTTTTTAGAATTTGAATTACATCTTCTATGAATTTGAGCAATTTGTTCTTCTATTTTATATCATTTTCTTTACGCACCATATTTTCTATGCATCGAGTTTAGGCATATTATTTAGATTTAAATTATTACCTTTAAATTACATGTTACTTGCTTGTTTCTTTTGTGATTCATGTTCTTTAGTTTTGTGTCTTTTGTCCTTGTTACTATTCTTTTTTTTTTTTTTTGGTAATGTTCTTTAATTTCGACTCTTATGTACGTTTATTTTTATTCATATTGTTTAAATTTAGTTTTTATATTCATCAGGTGCCCTATAAAACGCTGTGCACCCGGTTGCACAAACTAATAATTGGCAAGCCTTTAGTGGTTGCGATTTGATTTGATTGATCCAACGGCCGGGAAAGTGGAAAAAGGTTAATTTGCTCTAGCGGGCAGGATGAGGAATTTCATGATTTGAGTACTTGGGTTTTTAGTAGTATTTGCCTATTTGGGCAGTTGTTGTGCTATAAGTCCATACTTCCAAGTTGGCATATTTTATTTTGAGGAGTTGGGCTTCAAAAACTTGTTTCACTTTATAAAGTCATCTATCTGTCTAAACTACTAAAAACCCAAAGCCGAGTTGCAAAAGAATTATACACGAGTGCAGTCCTAGAAAGTAGGCCTAAAATCACATATCCGAGTCCAAAATTTGCAGTATTTGATATCCAAATCAATCCAAAAAAAAATCTTATATCGGATATTCAAAAGTTTTTAGGTAGGATATTGCAGATCTCCGTTATCCAATTGTACGAATGAGGGGTATTACATACACCCCAACTTGAGAATGACAATGTCCCTTATTGCGTCTGGAACCCTAGGGACCCTAGTATTACGCCTCATAATTGTTTTTAAAGGTACTTAATATACTTACACCCTCACTTGAGTATGTAATACCCTTCATGATTGTGTTGGTATATAAGGACAGTTGTTGGCCCTGGATGCGCATTTCTTGACAATAGGCTCCACCCTGATTTGGGGCCGGGGTGTTACAAATGGTATTAGAGCAACCTTGCGACCGCGTGCTGATCGTGGATAATTAATCCTATGTCAATCGTTTGGTAGGAGAGAATTCTGGGGATAATGGTCGTATATGGACTTGATGTAACACTACAGCTACCAAGATGCCATTAGGCGTAATACTAGGGTCCCTAGGATTCCAGGTGCAACGAGGGT